GCACCCGCCTTCGGAGTGGCGCTACTGGACCCAGGAGATTTACCGCTGGAGGCACTGGAGCTGGAGCTGCTGCAGGTACTCGAGCCGCTGGTCCCGAAGGTGCTTGTACTGGAGGTACTGGAGGTGCTGGAGCTGGTGGTGCTGCAGGAGTTGGAGCTGCTGGACGTACTGGAGCTGGAGCTGCTGGAGGTACTGGAGCCGCTGGTCCCAGAGGTGGTCTTACTGGAGGTACTGGAGCTGCTAGAGCTCGTGGTGCTGCAGGAGTTGGAGCTGGAGGCACTGGAGCTGGAGCTGCTGGAGGTACTGGAGCCGCTGGTCCTGGAGGTGCTTGTACTGGAGGTACTGGAGCTACTGGAGCTGGTGGTGCTGCGGGCGTTGGAGCTGGGGACCCTGGAGCTGGAGACACTAGAGCTGGAGGCGCTGGCCCTGGGGGTGCTGGTGCTGTTGGTGTTGGTTCTGGAGACACTGGACCGCCGCGACCGTACTTCGTTCCCCTGCTTTAGCTGGTTCTTGGTCTCTCGTATTCTCCTGGCCTTACTCCTCCCTTACTGTGTCCACCGCCTGACCAGACGCAGCCGCCGTTACAGCCAGCCTCCCCACTGCCTGCTCCTTCTCCTTACACCGAGCAGACCGGAGGTCTTTCAGAGCGCCGTGAGCTTGTGTCTCGTCCTGCCTTTCCTGTTCGCGCTGGTCGTTGTGTTCCTCATCAGCGTCCTCCTCCTGTCCTCGGCATGCACCATATGACACTTCGTCCTTCCTCTTTTCCACAGCGTGTCCCCCTGACGTCTCCTCCTGCGTCCTCTCTTGCTGACGGTCCGGACCATGAGTCTGACTTAGTTCGTGCTGCCAGTCCTACTGTCCCATGTCTGCTAGCCACTGTTGTCACTGACCCTTCGTTTGAGTCTGCTGCTGCGTCTTCCCTAGTTGCAGAGCTTGTTGACTTTGTTGCCGCCTGTCGTCTCGACTACATCGCTAGTCTTGTTGCTGAGTCTGGGTCTGGCTGTCATCCGTCCGTCGGGGGTGAGTGTGCTCTTAGCACGGACGTCCTTGAGGACAGGCAGGATGACTTTAAGTGTTTTGCAGCTGCTGTAACTCATCTCATGTCCATGCTGATTGCACCTGAGGGAGACCCGGATGCACCAGACATCCCGACCCCACGCTCTTACGCAGAGGCGATTACGGGTCCCTACTCCTCTTAGTGGCAGACAGCCATGGACGCAGAGATGGCATCCTGGAAGTCCACAGGCACTTACGTCGACGCAGTTCCCCCTCCTGGGGCGAACATAGTCGATGGCATGTGGATTTTCAGGGTGAAGCGGCCGCCGGGTTCTCCGCCTGCCTTCAAGGCTCGTTACGTTGCACAAGGCTTCAGTCAGCAGTAGGGAGTTGACTTCTTCCAGACCTTCTCCACTACCTCGAAGATGATTACTCTTCGGGTACTACTGCACGTCGCCGCTTAGCGTGACTACGAGCTTCACTCTCTTGACTTTAGAATAGCTTTCTTGCAGGGCAGCCTGCACGAGGAGATCTAGCTGCGCCACCCACCTGGCTTCACTGGGTCGTTTCCTGCAGGTACCCAGTGGAGCCTCCGACAACCAGTCTACGGTCTCCGCCAGGCGCCTCGCGAGTGGCACGACACACTGAGGACTACACTTGCGGCTCTTGGTTTTGCTCCTTCTACTGCTGACCCGTTGCTGTTTCTACGCACCGACAAATCGCTGCCGCCGTTCTACGTCCTCGTGTATGTCGACGACTTGGTCTTTGCCACTACTAACACTGAGGCATTGGCCCTTGTGAAGTCGGAGCTGCAGAAGAGACACACCTGCATAGACCTGGGTGAGCTGCGCAGCTATCTTGGCTTGCAGATCACCCGGGACAGAGCACGGCGCACCATCACCCTGACTCAGTCACACATGGAGCACCAGGTCCTTCAGCGCTTCGGCTTCCGGTACTCCTCGCCATAGTCCACTCCTCTGCCTACTGGTCACTTGCTCTCAGCTCCACCTTCGGACGAGTCCGTAGAGCCAAGTGGCCCATATCCAGAGCTTGTGGGCTGCCTCATGTACCTGATGACCTGCACTCGACCTGACCCTGCCTACCCTCTTAGCATCCTGGCTCGCTACGTTGCGCCCGAGAGACACCGACCAGAGCACTGGGAGGCCGCTAAAAGGGTGTTGCACTACTTGTTCAGTACGTCGGGCATGGGGCTCGTGCTTGGAGGACGGGGTCCAGTTTTCCTCATTGGACACGAAGACGCTTCTTGGGTTGATGACTTGGCTACGCAGCGGTCGTCACAGGGTTACACTTTCAGCCTTGGCTTCGGCTCTATTTCTTGGCGGTCTACCCGCTCGTCTTCTGTTCTCAGTTCCAGTTGTGAGGTTGAGATCTACGCAGGGGCCATGGCTGCACAGGAGTTACGCTGGCTCACCTACCTGTTGACCGACTTGGGAGAGCGGCCTCGTTCTTCTCCAGTTCTGTACGTAAACAACAAGGCCATGATTGCCTTGTGTCAGGAGCACAGACTGGAGCACAGAATGAAGCACATCGCTCTTCGTTACTTCCTTGCTCGAGAGTTGCAGCAGCGTGGTCAGCTTCGTCTTGCATACGTGGCCACTCGGGCCAACACTGCTGATACATTCACCAAGGAACTTCAGTCTGGTGATCATCAGCGTTTTAGTACTGTTTTAGGCCTGGTGCCTGCTTTGCCTCACTTGCTCACTGTGTGACTTTGCTTGTACTGTGATCTATATATATACCTGCATGCTCACACTTGCTAGGGTATGACCACTGTACTGTTTGTTCTCTTTTATAACTCTGCATGTGAACTGGCCTTGTGGCCTTTTCTTGTGCTCGGAATGTGTGGTGACTTCGTGATCCACCCTGAGCTTGCTTTGCTTTTCTTGACTGGTCTTGTGACCACTTGTTCTCCCCACTTTGCCTATGGGGGTGTGTCAAAATGTTATATTGCTTAATTTGTATAGGTTATAGTGGGGTAGCCCATAAGGGGTACAACCCAATTAGGGTTAGTACTTGTACCCAACTCATTCATAGTTCATCCATTCTCGTTCATTCTTCTGACTCTTCCGCTGATCGAGTTCGCCTACAACAACGCAACGTCAGCGACAACGCGGTAGTCCCCGTTTTACCTGAACTACAGGTAAAATCCAACAGTGCCCATGACGTCGAGTCCGGACAACCCAACGCCACGTGCACAACAATTTGCCGAGATTCTGCAAGCTTCCCGCACCAGAGCCGTACAAGCGATTTAAAAAACAAACGCTATCGCTAAAAGAAATGCTGACCACCACCGGTGCCCAGTGACGTACCAGTCCGGAGACTACATACTGCTTGACACACAGAACTTAAGACTGCCCATCGTACCAAAACTTCGACCGCGATACTGTGGACCGTTCCAAATCAGCCACATGATCACCCCAGTTACCGCCCATTTACTGTTGCCGACAGACTGGTACATCAGACCATCGTTCCACGTCAGCCTACTTCGCCCTTACATCCCAACCACGAGCCAACTGCCTCGTCACCGCCCGCCATCCATGACTCGCCCTGCATCGGAGCCAATCGTTGAGCCTAAGAAAATTTTGAGCCATCGGATTCGACACCTCACTGGCATCAAGAGGATCGCGTTCTTCGTTCGCTGGAAGGACCGCACCCCAACTGAGGATAGCTGGGTGCCCCTGGCCAACATTGAAAACCACCCTGCCCTGCAAGTGTACCTGAGGAGCCGGGTTTTCCGCGATATACACGCACTCGCGTAGCGGAGGGGGCTTCTTGAGGAGGGAGGGGAGGGGGTAATGTAAGGAATTTTCTCGACATTCCTAACCGCGACCATCAACATCGCGTACAGCAGCAGCCTTTGTTCATCCGTTACTGCTAACGGGGCTTCGCCAACTTCGCGCGCACTGTTTCACCAAACCATGCGCCGCTGGCCCGGCCGAGTCGGCCTACGCTTCGAGGCTAGCCCGAACCTCGATGCCAGTCTAGCACTAGCTAGCTCGCACGCACCGCGTAACCGTTGCATGTTTCGCACATACCGTATTACCCCGGATAGAAGCGCAACTGCGCTTATAATGAAGCAGAGTTTTTTAGGGGGGTGCGCTTCTAATTGAGTCATTTTTATAAGCGCATGCGTTTATATAATGACAGATACATATATATATATATATATATAGCATCAAAATGTACATCTCAGTCGTACCATTCCAATCGAGGTGAAATTTTATAGCACCAGGAATCAGAATCGCGCGCTACCGATTTTTTTCCAACACACAGGGGCAAAGACACGTAAATTTGCCCCTATGCCAGCACATCTTGACCTGACGCGTAGCTTCTGAGGTCTTCGCGAGCCAAACGAAGCGATTAAGAAATTATGCTCGCTTCAATTTTGAAAATCGTTACTGTGTTTAGCAGGCTTTAAATAAATAATTATGCATGCGCTTATAATAAAACAGGGTTTTACAGGGGGTGTGCTTATAATTGAGGATCGGCCATAAGCGCATTGCTCCAGATAGGCCCGCGCTTATATCTGGGGCGATACGGTAAGTATTCGCTCATGCCTTTTCTCATATTTTGTACTCGTTTGACACCTAGTGCAATCCTCTTTATCTAGTTCCATTGCACCTGTAACACTCTTCCATTCATTACTCTTCAATAGTAATCTCTGAAGTTTTCTACCTTGAGTGCATCTCAGTTCGTTTGCGAAACCCGTCTACCCACATCACTTCTTCAGGTTACGCGGATACCTGCTTTCCTTCGTCGCTACAGTCGCTTGCCACTCCCTCTCTCTAACAAGTTCCAACTTCGAACCTGTCATCAATTGCTCCTTGTGCAAAGGAGATCGCACATCAATACCTTTTCCTCAAATTCTCCACCTAGTTTCCCGCTTTACTTGCTGACCAGTTCACCTCGATTCCTCTCCCTTGGTCTCTCTCCTCGTCGCACGCTGTCTCCTGTTTTCCGCCCATCTCCCCCCTCTTCCCCGCATGGTAGCGACCGCCGCAATGAGCGCGAGAGCCGCCATCACTGCACGCGCCGTCAATGCTGCCGCACCACGCGCAATGTCCGCCTCGCCCGCACTTAGCGGCATGGGTTCGAGATGCGCCGTGACCGCAGCCGCCTGCTGCCGGCCGCGCCGCTGCTTCCATGGTGCCGCTGCGCGCCGATCTCTGCCGGCCCGCGAAGCCGTCATCGTAGCCGTCTGTCCGCACGAGAACGGACGGTCGATGCCGCTGGGAACAGGCCGAAGCGGCAAGGCAGCGCAATTCCCGGCGCGGATCGCGGGGATTACGGAGCCACATAGCCTAAGCACAGCTGCTTCGAGTTACTCTCAAGCAGGAGCGTTGAGCGGTGGAGAACGGTGCAGGACGGTTCGGGTGCGAGCAGAGAATACAGAGACGGGAGGGGGAAGCGGTGGAGGGGGAATGGGCGGCGGGGAAGGCGGAAAAGGAGGGGGAGGAGGAGGGGGAGGGGGAGGGGGAGGGGATGGCAATGGAGATAATAAAAACTCGGTTTGGGGAATGTGAGTGTCATGTACGGCATGTGAGGGCGATATAAGTTTTTAACCAAATGTGACATGCGGGTTGGTGTGACGTGGCATGCGCACTCTGTTAGACACTCAGCAAGCATGGGGCAGGGTATCGCGCCTGTGCCCCGCTCCCCATCACGTGCCCCTCCCCCTCATCTGCTCCTCTCCGCCTGCCCTGTCAACCCCATGCAGGTACCTGCATTTACTGGACCGCCACCCCCTGGCGGTGAAGGCGGGCACGTCCATGCTGCTCAACCCCGCGTCCCTCACCCCCACCCCTCACCTTCCGCATCTCCTCTTTTCGTCCCCCCGTCAACCCCATGCAGGTACCTACATTTACTGGACCGCCACCCCCTGGCAGTGAAGGCGGGCACGTCCATGCTGCTCAACCTGCTGGGAGACCTCTTCTGCCAGGTGTGCGCATGGGGCGAGGTAAAGTATGGGTAAATGGAGGGAGGTAAAGTATGGGTAAATGGAGGGAGGTAAAGTATGGGTAAATGGAGGGAGGTAAAGTATGGGTAAATGGAGGGAGGTAAAGTATGGGTAAATGGAGGGAGGGAGATTGGGGCATGTTGCAGTGCACGTGGTGTTCAGCAGAGTGGATGGATGCCAGTGAATGCTATCTTAAAGCCAGCCAATGCTGTTAAAAGCCAGTCAGTGCCACCTGTTGGCATGGCAGAGGAGCCCTGATGTGGCATATTGCTCAATTCTTGATGATGTGGCGTGACGTGTGTGTTTCTCTCTTGCCATGCCATGCTTCATGCCATACCATGCCATGACATGCCATGCTTCATGCCATACCATGCCATGACATGACATGCTTCATGCCATACCATGTGTGACCCCATGGCGATTAACACAGCTGGTGGTGGAGGGAGGGCACGGGGTGGATGCGAGGAGGGCAGCCACCATCTCCCTGCTGGGGCTGCTGCTAGTGGGGCCCACGCTACACGTCTGGTAACCACCCTGCACGTCTGGTAACCACCCTGCACGTCTGGTAACCACCCTGCACGTCTGGTTACCACCCTGCACGTCTGGTAACCGCACTGCACACACCGCATGTCTGGTTACCACGTGGTGCTTTTGATTTCGCTTTTCTCCCAGCGTCCTCTCTTTTCATTTGGCACATATTCATGCGTCAGGTGTGTGGCTGGTATGATTTCCCTCCATGCCCCATGTTCCAGATCTGCCAAGTCCTAAAAAGGCACACTGCATCAATGTCCCAACTTCCTTACGCCCTCCTTCCTTACGCCCTCCTTGCTTACGCCCTCCTTGCTTACGCCCTCCTTGCTTACGCCCTCCTTGCTTACGCCCTCCTTCCTTACGCCCTCCTTGCTTACGCCCTCCTTGCTTACGCCCTCCTTGCTTACGCCCTCCTTGCTTACGCCCTCCTTGCTTACGCCCTCCTTGCTTACGCCCTCCTTGCTTATAACCTCTTGTTGCACTCTCCCTTGAACGGCATGGTTTGGTATGGCATGGAGTGGGATGGGATGGCATGGTATGGCACTCTTCCCCGCACCACATGACATGGGCATGGGATGGCATGGTATGGCAATGCATGGGCAATGACACGCAATGGCACATGCAGGTACTCACTGCTGTTCCGCATGGTGACAGTGCAGGGCACTCCGGGCACTCTCATCCGCCTCGCTCTCGACCAGGTCAGGCTCCTCCCCACGTGCATACTTCTACCCTACTCCCATGTTCCTTAACCACGCCCATGCCTCTCCCACACGCTCATGCCTCTCCCACGCGCCCATGCCTCTCCCACGCGCTCATGCCTCTCCCACACGCCCATGCCTCTCCCACGCGCTCATGCCTCTCCCACACGCCCGTGCTTCTCCCGCACGCCCATGCTTCTCCCACACGCCCATGCTTCTCCCACGCGCCCATGCCTCTCCCACACACCCATGCTTCTCCCACACGCCCATGCTTCTCCCGCACGCCCATGCTTCTCCCACACACCCATGCTTCTCCCACACGCCCATGCTTCTCCCGCACGCCCATGCTTCTCCCACACGCCCATGCTTCTCCCACGCGCCCATGCCTCTCCCACACGCCCATGCTTCTCCCGCACGCCCATGCTTCTCCCGCACGCCCATGCTTCTCCCACACGCCCATGCTTCTCCCGCACGCCCATGCTTCTCCCACACACCCATGCTTCTCCCACACGCCCATGCTTCTCCCGCACGCCCATGCTTCTCCCGTACGCCCATGCTTCTCCCACACGCCCATGCTTCTCCCGCACGCCCATGCTTCTCCCACACGCCCATGCTTTTCCCACACACCCATGCTTCTCCCACACGCCCATGCTTCTCCCGCACGCCCATGCTTCTCCCACACGCCCATGCTTCTCCCGCACGCCCATGCTTCTCCCACACACCCATGCTTCTCCCACACGCCCATGCTTCTCCCGCACGCCCATGCTTCTCCCGTACGCCCATGCTTCTCCCACACGCCCATGCTTCTCCCGCACGCCCATGCTTCTCCCACACGCCCATGCTTTTCCCACACACCCATGCTTCTCCCACACGCCCATGCTTCTCCCGCACGCCCATGATTCTCCCACACGCCCATGCTTCTCCCGCACGCCCATGCTTCTCCCACACACCCATGCTTCTCCCACACGCCCATGCTTCTCCCGCGCGCCCATGCCTCTCCCACACACCCATGCTTCTCCCACACGCCCATGCTTCTCCCGCACGCCCATGCTTCTCCCGCACGCCCATGCTTCTCCCACACACCCATGCTTCTCCCACACGCCCATGCTTCTCCCACACACCCATGCTTCTCCCACACGCCCATGCTTCTCCCGCACGCCCATGCTTCTCCCGCACGCCCATGCTTCTCCCACACGCCCATGCTTCTCCCGCACGCCCATGCTTCTCCCGCACGCCCATGCTTCTCCCACACGCCCATGCTTCTCCCACGCGCCCATGCCTCTCCCACACACCCATGCTTCTCCCACACGCCCATGCTTCTCCCGCACGCCCATGCTTCTCCCGCACGCCCATGCTTCTCCCACACGCCCATGCTTCTCCCGCACGCCCATGCTTCTCCCACACGCCCATGCTTCTCCCGCACGCCCATGCCTCTCCCACACGCCCATGCCTCTCCCACACACCCATGCTTGTCCCGCACGCCCATGCTTCTCCCACACACCCATGCTTCTCCCACACGCCCATGCTTCTCCCGCACGCCCATGCTTCTCCCACACGCCCATGCTTCTCCCGCACGCCCATGCCTCTCCCACACGCCCATGCCTCTCCCACACACCCATGCTTCTCCCACACGCCCATGCTTCTCCCACACGCCCATGCTTCTCCCGCACTCCCATGCCTCTCTCACACGCCCATGCCTCTCCCACACACCCATGCTTCTCCCACACGCCCATGCTTCTCCCACACGCCCATGCTTCTCCCGCCCTATGCTTCTCCCACACGCCCATGCTTCTCCTACACGCCCATGCTTCTCCCACACGCCCATGCCTCTCCCACGCGCCCATGCCTCTCCCACACACCCATGCTTCTCCCACACGCCCATGCTTCTCCCGCACGCCCATGCTTCTCCCACACGCCCATGCTTCTCCCACACGCCCATGCTTCTCCCACACACCCATGCTTCTCCCACACGCCCATGCTTCTCCCGCACGCCCATGCCTCTCCCACGCGCCCATGCCTCTCCCACACACCCATGCTTCTCCCACACGCCCATGCTTCTCCCGCACGCCCATGCTTCTCCCACACGCCCATGCTTCTCCCGCACGCCCATGCTTCTCCCACACGCCCATGCTTCTCCCGGACGCCCATGCTTCTCCCACACGCCCATGCTTCTCCCGCACGCCCATCCTTCTCCCACACGCCCATGCTTCTCCCGCACGCCCATGCTTCTCCCACACGCCCATGCTTCTCCCGGACGCCCATGCTTCTCCCACACGCCCATGCTTCTCCCGCACGCCCATCCTTCTCCCACACGCCCATGCTTCTCCCGCACGCCCATGCTTCTCCCACACGCCCATGCTTCTCCCGCACGCCCATGCTTCTCCCACACGCCCATGCTTCTCCCACACGCCCATGCTTCTCCCACACACCCATGCTTCTCCCACACCCCCATGCTTCTCCCGCACGCCCATGCCTCTCCCACGCGCCCATGCCTCTCCCACACACCCATGCTTCTCCCACACGCCCATTCTTCTCCCACACACCCATGCTTCTCCCACACGCCCATGCTTCTCCCGCACGCCCATGCTTCTCCCACACGCCCATGCTTCTCCCACACGCCCATGCTTCTCCCACACACCCATGCTTCTCCCACACGCCCATGCTTCTCCCGCACGCCCATGCCTCCCCACGCGCCCATGCCTCTCCCACACACCCATGCTTCTCCCACACGCCCATTCTTCTCTCACACACCCATGCTTCTCCCACACGCCCATGCTTCTCCCACACACCCATGCTTCTCCCACACGCCCATGCTTCTCCCGCACGCCCATGCTTCTCCCACACGCCCATGCTTCTCCCACACGCCCATGCTTCTCCCACACACCCATGCTTCTCCCACACGCCCATGCTTCTCCCGCACGCCCATGCCTCCCCACGCGCCCATGCCTCTCCCACACACCCATGCTTCTCCCACACGCCCATTCTTCTCTCACACACCCATGCTTCTCCCACACGCCCATGCTTCTCCCGCACGCCCATCCTTCTCCCACACGCCCATGCTTCTCCCGCACGCCCATGCTTCTCCCACACGCCCATGCTTCTCCCGCACGCCCATGCTTCTCCCACACGCCCATGCTTCTCCCACACGCCCATGCTTCTCCCACACGCCCATGCTTCTCCCACACGCCCATGCTTCTCCCGCACGCCCATGCCTCTCCCACGCGCCCATGCCTCTCCCACACACCCATGCTTCTCCCACACGCCCATTCTTCTCCCACACACCCATGCTTCTCCCACACGCCCATGCTTCTCCCGCACGCCCATGCTTCTCCCACACGCCCATGCTTCTCCCACACGCCCATGCTTCTCCCACACACCCATGCTTCTCCCACACGCCCATGCTTCTCCCGCACGCCCATGCCTCCCCACGCGCCCATGCCTCTCCCACACACCCATGCTTCTCCCACACGCCCATTCTTCTCTCACACACCCATGCTTCTCCCACACGCCCATGCTTCTCCCACACACCCATGCTTCTCCCACACGCCCATGCTTCTCCCGCACGCCCATGCTTCTCCCACACGCCCATGCTTCTCCCACACGCCCATGCTTCTCCCACACACCCATGCTTCTCCCACACGCCCATGCTTCTCCCGCACGCCCATGCCTCCCCACGCGCCCATGCCTCTCCCACACACCCATGCTTCTCCCACACGCCCATTCTTCTCTCACACACCCATGCTTCTCCCACACGCCCATGCTTCTCCCGCACGCCCATGCTTCTCCCACACGCCCATGCTTCTCCCGCACGCCCATGCTTCTCCCACACGCCCATGCTTCTCCCGGACGCCCATGCTTCTCCCACACGCCCATGCTTCTCCCGCACGCCCATCCTTCTCCCACACGCCCATGCTTCTCCCGCACGCCCATGCTTCTCCCACACGCCCATGCTTCTCCCGCACGCCCATGCTTCTCCCACACGCCCATGCTTCTCCCACACGCCCATGCTTCTCCCACACACCCATGCTTCTCCCACACGCCCATGCTTCTCCCGCACGCCCATGCCTCTCCCACGCGCCCATGCCTCTCCCACACACCCATGCTTCTCCCACACGCCCATTCTTCTCCCACACACCCATGCTTCTCCCACACGCCCATGCTTCTCCCGCACGCCCATGCTTCTCCCACACGCCCATGCTTCTCCTGCACGTCCATGCTTCTCCCACACACCCATGCTTCTCCCACACGGCCATGGTTCTCCCACACGCCCATGCCTCTCCCACACGCTCATGCCTCTCCCACACGCCCATGCTTCTCCAACCATTTCCTTGCCCGCATCCTCTTTTAAGCTGCTTCTCAACCTCCAGCCCGAAATTCCTAGTCCACCGCTCATAGACCTCCCCTTCCCTTGCTCCTCCTGTCACCACCTGTGGCATGGCCGCTCAATTCTCATCAGCTGCTCTTCATCTCCACCTTCTTCTCCACCCTTTCCACTCAACCTCTGTGTCCATCAGCTGCCATCCCTGACGTGCTAAAGCAGGTCAGTGCTGCAAATCTTTGAAAGAAGTTTATTGGAACAGTCCTTCAACAAAGCGATCACCTCAGACACGTGCATGCCTGAAGCAGGTCAGGGGCCACAACAGAGGTGGCTGGCATCTGCTTCCTGTGCTTCCTCTGCTTCCTGTTCTGCATGCTCTTTGCAGGAACCTTGTTGAATCGAGTAAGGCAGTGGTGTTTCTTAGTCTGCCTGCCACCTTCGCTTTTCCCTTCCCCCATCAGGAGTGGGCCAAGGCGGTGGTGGCCAACTGGAAGGTGTGGATCCCCTTTCAGTTCCTCAACTTCCGCTTCGTGCCGCTGCACCTTCAGGTGCGCGCTTACCAAGGCAAATGCATTTCTCACTTTTTGCTACAGGGCAAGTGCACTAGGCACTGTTACCTATGAATTTCCACGCTGGAAGCAGACTGGTTCATCAATTGCTTTTACACTCAGAGATTTTATGGCTCGCAAAACTAGATAGCAACTACTGTTCCATCCTACAATGTTGTATTTCCTTGCATGCCGTATACGGCACGCATTGTTGCATAACGCGGGGTAGAACAGCCTTATTGCAGGCTGAAGCAGATCTGTCTCTGCTTTTGGTTAACGTGGTGGCTGTGTGCTGTGCTGCTTTGGGTGCATTGGATGTTGGCAGGTCGCAGCATCCAATGTGATCGCGCTGCTGTAGAATGTCTACCTCTCCTTTGCAAGCCATCGCGGTGTGAAGGAGATGTAAATAGGACACTTATAGTGTTGCAGCTTCAGTGCTGCTGCGTCTTCGGAACGGTCCACGCACGTTGTGTGTTGATTAACACAATTTTTGCCATTTTTCTTATGTATGCTATATCATGTAGCCCTTTCTAATACCGTTTATGTGAGAAAGCGGTATTTCAAAAACTGAACGGAATAAATGTTGCATATCTATCATGATTGTCCTGAACTAGGCAGCCTGAAACGGGAGATGATCCACAAGAAGGGATGGTTTGAAAGTATGTAACAAAAAATACCTTTTCAGGTGTACCTCATGTTAACATTTCACAGATACTACGATTGAATTTTCCGCTCAACCCCATCTAGTTGAATTGCAACGGCTGAGCTGTGTCGTTTTGCTAGACGAGGTGCCTGTTAGTGCGGCCCATCTAGTCATCTACATACAGTATCCCTTGAGCACGTCGCACCTTGATGCCGACTTCACGTCGTCCAATCCTGGCGCTCTTCGTGACCCTGGAAGCGCCCGTCAGAACGAAACGCGCTTAGCCGAGATCTAGCGAGCGCGCACACGAGTCACATCACAACTTGTCAATTCTCAGCTCATCACGCTCCGAATCGGCCGCATCGCGTGATTTTAATCTGGAGTCTTCTAATCAGGCAGCATAACCGACTATCACCAGCCTTCACCGTAATGTATCCCGTTTTGTGATCTCGTATCACTTGTGAAAGTCTGTATAGCCGTTTTCCTTGCTGCCACTGTACTGCTGTCTGTATGCCTCCTGGCCCTGGTTCCATCTCACCCCCTCTTTCTTCCCCCTTGCATTCGTGATCAGTTGCTTTTGTATGCACCTGTTTCAGCTTCAGCTCTGCCGAACCAGATGGCATTCTAGTCGAGCCGAACGTGGTTGAAGGCGGTCGTAACGGCTTGGCCGTGGCTCTGCGCAAAAACCAACCAACCATTCCTCATCGTCCACCCTGCCGCTACTGCCGGTCTGCTGACGAAGCTAACCAGGAACCTCGGGCAAAGGCTTTATACTCGTCATTGCCTATCGTGCTGTACTTTTCCAACATAGGCAGGCAGGCACACTTGGCCCCTCCTTCCCTCCCTTGCGTCGTTGAGTCCTTATCACTTGTTTCCGTGTCAATTCTCACCCCTCGCCCAACACTTGTAGTAGTCGATTCTCTGTCCAGTCCCATAGTTGCCTCGTGTGGCTGTAACGATACGGCCACTCGAGCTTTTTACCCCCTTCCTCTTGGCGTGACTCTATGTCACCTTGTAGTCATCATCGCCTTAGCTCCCTATTCTCTGGAACAATCCAGTGAGTAGCGCAAGTGCGTGAATTTACCTTCTTTACAGAAGTCTCTTAGTGCACACGCAACACACCAGCAAACGAACAGTAGCGTGCAGACCCATTGCCAGTGTGCCGAGGGGAAACTAGCGTCTGCATCGTCTGCAGCACCTACTTACTCCTAGTAGCATAGTGCTACAGTAGCTCTCTCTCGAGAGAATCTGTCCGACGCGATGGGGCATCCCGAATCTCATCCTCTCCTCTCTCCCTCGCTGAACGCCAACGCCGCACCGCAGGCCTTACCTCAGAATCTAGAGCATTTCAGACTGGTCGGATACGAGTCCCCCTCCAAGCCCCTCGTCGTCGCCCGTCACCCGGCGGTTGCGAGCTTTCGTTTCGTTCATCGTTCTATCAGCCATCTTCCTCATCGTCTTTCTTTTCAACTTCACCTTTATCGCGTCCAGCGTATCCCCGTTAGTGACTTACCTCGATAAAGCCACGGATTTAGAGGGCCCCGAGAAGGCCGGCGCGTCGTATTTAGGCAATGTGATGGTGGAGTACAGTCAAAAGAAACAGCAGCCGCCGCAACAGCCGGGAAAGCAGTCACCTGCACAGCAGCAACAGCAGCCGCAGCGGCGGCCGTGGAGGAAACAGCCTGGAAAGATCGCGTTCCTGTTCATGACACGTGGCCCGCTGCCTCTAGCCCCGTTGTGGGAAAAGTTCTTCAAGGTAGGGTGGGTGGGGGGAGTGGGTGGGGGTTGGGCACGCGGTGGGTAGGCGCACGGAGGGTGGCGCGCATGGGGCTGGCGGGTGGAGTTGGCAGGTCCAGGACCCGAGGTGAGGGCGGGAGTGTGTAGAAACTGCTGTCACTGACAGGGTTGCACCGCTGTGCGAAATCACCGTTATCGTGCGATGCGAAATCATGTGTGGCGGGAATGCGGATGCGAAGGTGCCCAGTGTGCGGGGAACGAGGCGTAGTGATTGGCGGCGGGTAGGGGTCTCAATGCGACAGGTCACAGGCCTCAGTGCGACAGATTCTAGCCCGACAGATGTCAGTGCGACGTATTCTAGCGCGCCAGTCCTTGTGCGACAGAATTCAGTGCAGGAGGGAATCAGACACACGATTGGGAGGGACCGCTGACTTAGAACGGATCCACGAGAAGCCGTCGTTATGAGATTCCTTAGCTTTCTATGATTCGGAAAAGCTCACTAAATTCATGGACTAAGCGTTGAGTAGCGTCCAGCCAGTACAAGTGAAGCGGCGGTGTCTCGCACCTCAGGTTCGTTCTGAAATTTCTTAAGGTTTAATCCAGTGTTGCTTGCTGATTGGTTGCTATGCCGCTCCCCATAGCCAGTCGAGGTTTTGTTCGGTTTGGAGAGGTTACTTTAAATCGGCGAACCACTCCAACAGTTACCAGCCGAAGAACAGGTCATTTGGCGACGGCGCATCGCGTCGCCGCGAGGCCGGCGACGACAGGAAGCGCAGTGTGTGTTTACGGACGCACACCTCGATGCGCGATAATTAGAGAGGCGCGACAGCTATTGCTAGAATAAAGGACCACCCGTGGGACGGCTTGGGAATCTCGGGTGGTTAGAACGCCAGGCCAACGCTTCTAGTCGTCCTGATATTCCCCTAACCAGTACGCATCATTGCCGCTAACTCGGCGCGAGGCGCGGCGGGAATCATCTTCGTTGATCCGAATTCGAAATGCGCTTCGAAACGACTAATTAGACGAGTCCATCAGACCGCTTCGATTCAGGTCGCCGCGGTCAATCGAAGGCGGTTTTTGCGAAATTCCGAAAAAAACGTCTGCGACAACAAGGGTCCAGAATCCACGTGTGCTTTGAGTGGACGTCGGATTCCAGATAAGCATCCATTTAGGTCGCCTCGCGTCAGGTCGCCGCGGCCAACGCAGGTCCATTTAGGAGGTCTCGCGAGATGTCTTTTTGAGAATTCGCACAAGTCCGCGATTTTCCCGCCGCGAATCTCGAGGAATTTTGCAAGTCGCGTCAGCTCGTCGCGATCTCGCTTAACGTCCCCCGTTTCCGCATCCGCGCGCGTTTCTGCGGCCCCCAGGGCCACGAGGGGCGCTTCTCCATCTACATCCATGCGGCGCGTGGCATGCGCCACAACCTATCTCTTTTCCCCCCTACCCGCCCATCCTCTTCACCCCCCGTTCCACCCCTCCCCCCAGGGCCACGAGGGGCGCTTCCCCATCTACATCCACGCGGCGGAGCTCTCCCGCCTTCTCTTCCCGCTCATCCGCTCATCCACTCCCACTTGCCGCATCTTCTCCCACCTCCTCTCCCTCCTGCCCAGGGCCACGAGGGGCGCTACTCCATCTACATCCATGCGGCGGACCTCTCCCCCCTCCCTTTTCCCCCATCCGCAACCTTCCCCCTCCCTTTCCCCACCCCCTCCACCACCGCAGGGCCACGAGGGGCGCTACTCCATCTACATCCACGCGGCGGACCTGTCCTTCCGCTTCCCGCGCAACTTCTCCACGCTCTTCCGCGACCGCATCATCAAAAGCGGCAAGGTGAGCGCCGTAGCGGCAAGGTGAGCGATGTAGCGACTGCAGCGGCAATTGCGGCGCCTCAAAAGGCTTCTCCGCGCTCTGACGCGACCGCATCATCAAAAGCGGCAAGGTGAGCGCTGCAGCCCCCGCAGTGGGGCAACGTGGGCACTGCAGCGTGTGTGTCGCCTCGTACGCTGTATTCCTCATGGGTCCATAGAACCATCATTGCACCCGGAGATGCGTTTAGCGAGGTACTAAAACCTTACTGAACGCGTAAGGACTAGTGCATGTTGTGTACTACGTATGACAGGTATCGCTGTAACATTATTGATATTTTTCAACCGACTCTGCGCCACTCTCAGCAGGTGCGGCGGCGCGAGATGGCCATGGTTGACGCGGAGATGCTTCTAACGAGTACTGGAGTACTTTATTCCAACCTTGTTTTCTTTAAAATTCTCCTCTGCGCCACAACAAGAGGCAGGTGGCATGGGCGAGTTGTCCACGGTGGACCAGAGATGTATCAAAGGAGGTGCTACAGTATCTTATGTAACCTTCTTGTGTTTTATGTAACCCTCCTGTTTCATGAAATTCGGTCCTATACCTCTGGCTGGCTGTGCAGGTGGCGTTGGGCGAGATGCCCTTGGTGGATGCGGAGCGGCTACAGTAACGGGGTACTACAGTAGCTTATCTAACTCTATTACACTGCCTTATATGACGAAAATGCTCTTCCACCGGCTGTGCAGGTGGCGTGGGGCGAGATGTCCATGGTGGATGCAGAGAGGCGGCTGCTGGCGGCGGCTCTCAAGGAGCGAACCAACCACCAATTCGTGCTGCTCTCAGAGGCGTGAGTGCTGCTCTCAGAGGTGTGAGTGCTGCTCTCCCAGGCGTGAGTGCCGCTGTGAGAAGCGTGGGTGCTCACTGCTGCTCTGAGAGGCCTGCTGAGTACATCAACTCAATTCAACATCCGTCTTCTCATTTCCCCTTCGCTGACGCCCATTCCCCTCATCCCCTTCTCCCTGTGCATGCGTGCTGCTGCGTCCCATCCCCCCAGGTGCATACCGCTGTGGGACTTCGACACCATCGCCACCTACATCAACTCAACTGCCATCTCATTCGTTGACGCGTGAGTGCCACCTGTGGGGCGTGGCGCATGGGACACGGGGGGCGCAGGGCGCAGGGCGCGGGGCATGGGGCGTGGGGCGCGGGACGCGGGGCATGGGGCGTGGGGCGTGGGGCAGGGGGCAGGGGGCAGGGGGCAGGGGGCAGGGGACAGGGGACAGCAGGTATGCAGCAAGGTAACAGATGAAAGCGCTGTGCTGCGACAAGTCAGTGTCCTTGTGCTTGACCACAAGCGCCTCTCAGTTCTCCCCACTTCCCCTCCTCTCCCTCTTCCCCTCCCCCCCATCCCCCACCCCCCACCCCCCTTCAACCCCCCATTCCCATGCAGGTGCTACGAACCAAACAACAAGTCAGTGTGCTTGACCACAAGTGCCCCTTGATGTGATTCTCCCCACCTTCTCACCCTTCTCTCCCCTCACGCCCCCATCCCCCCCACCATGCAGGTACTACAACCCGTACAACAAGTCGTTTGACTGGCATCTGGCACACCTACATGCCCATTATAAGGCCATCGAAACAGGAACCCTTCTGCTGCCTCGCTCCCCTCAACGATTCTCCCCTCTCTCTCTCTCTCTCTCTCTCTCTCTCTCTCTCTCTCTCTCTCTCTCTCTCTCTCTCTCTCTCTCTCTCTCTCTCTCTCTCTAATGGCCCGTTCATTGATAGTCAGGGTGTACATGCATGCATGACATACGTGAACGTGGTCACGTGGCTAGTACAGAATAAAGTTCCTATCCACCCATCCGCCCAACACCCTCTAAGTGAGATCCAGTGCAGGATCAAGAACCGAGAGGCAGTCCCCAAGGGACGGGGCCTCTCCCACTGCTTCTAGTAGCGGGTTTTCAACCGCTGCTGCTATGTTGCACTTTTCCAGGTACCCAATCGACTGCCCACGCTGAAGAGCCACCGACCACCGCTGCCGGTATTGGTGTAAGAGCTTGGCAGCTTGGTAGGAGGTTGGCTCGGCGTTGAAAAACCGCCGTGCAGCTGTTTCCGCGAGTAGTTTCAGGAAGTCAACTGACTCTGGGCAAGGGCACCCATATGTCTCGACCGCTAGCGGGAAGAACTTCACCCATTCTGGGCGGTCCTTGTAAAGGCCGTGTTTCTTATCCGCTGCCTCCCGTGCCGCCCACCCCCTCCCCTTGGTGGCGTTCTCATCGCGGGTGCTGATGGGGTCCGTTACCGTCACATCGCAGATATAGACGGCGCCAGTGGAGCGGCAGCGTAAGGCCAGGTCTGCCTTCTTCTCCTCCACTGGGCTGAAGGCGGCCGTCTCTATATGCACCATGAAGCCTGCGTCTTGCGCCATCCGTGCGCACTCGTCCCTAAGTTCATTGTGTGTGTTTGTGCGCCCCCCCCCTGTTCCGCATCGTAGCAGGTGGTTCGGGAGCCGCTTATCCGGGATCTCCACCTTTTTCGAGCAGTTGCAAACCCCAGGAGCCGCAAATGGGAGCCCCAGCCTAAACTGGAGCGCGTTGGCAAAGTGGGGAGCCTCAAGGCGGAGCGAGGAGTGGATAGGCACTGCGTTTAACCAATCCCCCGCCCCATATCCCGACAGGGACAGCATCCGCTGCGTGTGACCGTTGTTGGGGTTCGGGCTCATCCCCCGCACCTCGTCCACCTGCACGGCATAGCGCTGGCCCTGGATAGCCATGGCCAACCCGGGCTGCAGTTTCCCCGCAGTTGGAGCCGATCTCTCAGCCTGAAGAACTTCTTGGGCTGGAAGTGGGAGTTCCCCTTCGCATTCCGCCAGCCACTCGGTCAGGGGGGAGGACTCGGTGTAGGGGCCGCGCATCAGCTCGCGCGTGACTTCCAAAGGGCCAGAGCACTCGCTGTCCAAGGAGTCGAGTAAGAGCTGCGCCTGCGTGTAGCTGGCGAGGAAGCTGTAGCTTCCTTCCACGGAAGGGTCCGTCAGCCCCAGGCCACCGAGCGATATGGGTAGTGAGGCTTGCGCCCACGTGCGAGAAGTTTCCTCATCCCCCCGCGGGTGGTTAATGCCACATGCTGTAAGGAGCGTTTCCAGCAACCGCCTTCCCCATTCAGACCACTCCTCCTTGGGCAGGAAAGGCAGAGGTGTTGTGCGGGCTAAGTATGACACCCGCCGTGAGATGCAGCGGGACAGCAGTAGTCCCGCCAGCTGCGGCTCCATGCGCTCTATCAACCCCAGCGGCGCGCTCATCGCCTCCAAGCTGGAACGAACGAAGGCAGAGGTTGCCGAGGAGGAGCCGATGTAGCTCCCCAGCACTTTCAAGCCTTCGCTGCTCGGTGGTATTTGTTAGAAGATAGTACTGCACGAGAATGAATGAACTAGAAAAAAGTTGGGTACAAGTATGAAACCCTAAGTTTGTTGTACCCTCTAAGGCTAAACCCACTATAGCCTACACAATATAGACATATAATGTTTGACACACCCCCATAGGCTAAGTGGGAGACAACCAGATGGTCACAAGACCAGTCAAAGCAAAGCAAAGCAAGCTCAGGGTGGATCTCAAGGAAACCACACAAATTCTGAGCACAAGCAAGTGGTCACAAGACCAGTTCACATGCAGGTTGATAATATAACAAGAGATACAGTGATCACAACCTAGCAAGAGTAAACATGCAGGTATATATATAGAGATCACAGTACAAGCAGAGTCAAGAAGAAAGCAAGTGAGGCCCAGTAGGCACGAGGCCTAGAACAGTACAGAAGCGCTGATGGTCACAGGGCTGAAGCGCCTTGGTGAACACATCAGCAGTGTTGGCCCGAGTGGCCACGTAACGCAGACGAAGCTGACCGCGCTGCTGCAGCTCTCGAGCAAGAAAGTAGCGCAGAGCGATATGCTTCGTTCTGTGCTCCAGTCTGTGCTCCTCACACAAGGCAATGGCAGCCTTGTTGTCGACGTACAGCACTGGAGGAGAACGAGGCCGCTCTCCCAGGTCGGTCAGCAGGTAGGTGAGCCAGCGTAACTCCTGTGCAGCCATGGCTGTGGCGTAGATCTCAGCCTCACAACTGGAGCTGAGAACAGAAGACGAGCGTGTAGAACGCCAAGAAACTGAACCAGAGCCAAGGCTGAAGGTGTAACCCTGAGACGACCGCTGAGTAGCCTGGTCGTCTGCCCAAGAAGCGTCTGAGTGCCCAGTGAGTACAACTCGGTCTCGCCCTCCAAGCACTAGCCCCATGCCCGACGTACTGCACAAGTAGCGCAACACCCTCTTAGCAGCACCCATGTGCTCCTTCCGGTGACGACCAGGAGCGACATAGCGTGCAAGGATGCTAAGAGGGTATGCAAGGTCAGGCCGAGTGCAGGTCATCAGGTACATGAGGCAACCCACAAGCTCTAGATACGGGCCACTCGGCTCTACGGACTCATCCGAAGGCAGAGCTGAGAGCGAGTGACCGGTAGGCAGAGGAGTGGCCTGAGGCGAGGAGTACGTGAAGCGGAAGCGCTGAAGGACCTGCTGCACCATGTGTGACTGAGTCAAGGTGATGGTGCGCTGTGCTCTGTCCCGGGTGATCCGCAAGCCAAGATAGCTTGTCAGTTCACCCAGGTCTGTGCGCGTGTGTCTCTTCTGCAGCTCCGACTTCACGTGAGCGAGTGCCGTAGTGTCAGCAGTGGCAAAGACCAAGTCGTCGACGTACACGAGGATGTAGAACGGCGGCAGCGAAGTGTCGGTGCGTAGAAACAGCGACGGGTCAGCAGTAGAAGGAGCGAACCCAAGAGCCGCAAGTGTAGTCCTCAGTGTGTCGTGCCACTCACGCGGCGCCTGGCGGAGACCGTAGACTGGCCGCCGGAGGCTCCACTGGGTACCAGGAGGGAACGACCCAGTGAAGCCAGGTGGACGGCGCAGCCAGATCTCCTCGTGCAGGCTGCCCTGTAGGAAAACAGTGCTGAAGTCAAGCGAGTGGAGCTCGTAGTCACGCTGAGCGGCGACGTGCAGCAGAACCCGAAGAGTGGTCATCTTCGGGGTCGGGGAGAAGGTCTGGAAGAAGTCAACTCCCTCTCGCTGACTGAAGCCTCGTGCAACGTAACGCGCCTTGAAGACAGGCGGAGAACCCGGCGGCCGTTTCACCCTGAAAATCCACATGCCACTGAGAATTTTCGCCCCAGGTGGGGGAACGTCGTCGACGTAGGTGCCTGTGGACTTCCAGGAAGCCGTCTCTGTGTCCATGACTGTCTGCCACTGAGAGGAGTACTCACCCGCGATCGCCTCAGCGAAAGAGCGCGGGGTCGGGATGTCTGGAGCATTCGGGTCTCCCTCAGGGGCAACCAGCATGGACACGAGATGAGGTAAAGCAGCGGCAAAGCACTCAAACTCCTCCTGCCTGTCCTCAAGGACGTCCGTGCGAAGAGCACACTCACCCCCGACGGACGGAGGATAGACAGACTCAGACTCAGCGACAAGGCTAGCGGCGTAGTCTAGACGACAAGCGGCAGCAAAGTCAACTAACTCAGCGACTAGAGCAGACGCAGCAGAGGACTCAAAGGAAGGGTCAGTGACAACAGTGGCGAGGAGACGCGTGACAGTAGGACTGGCAGCACGAAGGGAGTCAGACTCCGGGTCAGCAAGAGCAGGAAGAGAGGACGTAGGAGGATACGGCAGAGGGACACGCTGAGGAGCAGTGGAAGGACGAAGCGTCATCTGGTGAGTGCCTGGGACAGCAGGAGGACGCTGACCAGTGTGAGCAGCACGAACAGGCGACGCACGACGAGACTCGGGCGACGCAGGACGAGACTCAGGCTCACGACGCTCTGTAAGACCTCCAGTCGGACCAGTGTAAGGAGAAGGACCAGGGAGTGGTAAGGCAGGAGGCAACCGTGACTGCGACGGGACTGGCGGAAGACACTCTAAGGAGGGAGCAGGACAAGGAGGAGGCGACTGACCAAGAACCTGCTGAAGGAGCGGAACGAAGTACGGCTGCGGCCGCGTAGCGCCGCCAGAACCAGCAGAGAGACCACCAGTAGCCTCAGCTCCAGGGCCACCAGCGACAGCGCCCGCAGGACCACCAGTAGCTCCACCAGCGTC